CTTCAACTCTCTGCCACCCAGTGGATTCTGACACAGAGTGACTTTATAGGGCAGGGGGGTAGAGCTGCCCCTGAGGGTTTCCCAGGCTCTTCTGTAAAGCCTGGTGACTTCCCACTCTTTAGCGGTCCACTGTGAGCCCCCAGTGCCAGCCACCATACAGTTGGTCGCCAGGAGTCAGAATTCACCCAGTGGCTTTGGGCTGGGCTTGCTTTCGTGTCATCTTCTCTGAGCATGGAGCGCGAGCAGGGACACAACATTCCATTTCCAAATGAGCAGCTTCCGGGGGTGCACTCCCCACGGCACTCCCCCGGAAGCTGAGCATGTCCCTGAGAGAAGCGCCATTTCAGAATGCAGCGAGAGGGGACACCTGGGCCCTCCTCCACAAGCAAGGGTGCTGTCCCCCTAACGGGCCAGCACTCATCCTGAGGGCAGCTGCTGCTGGGGACACGGTGCTGGGTGCCAAGCTGGGTGTCACACTGGGTGCTGTGCACACCTCCTGTTGTGTCAAGTCGATCTGCCTCGTGGTGACCCCAGGAGTCACAGAGTACAACGGCTCTGAAGGATTTTCTTGGCTGGATTGCTAAAGGAAGCAGATCAGCAGGTCTTTGCTTGCACAGGGGGCTAGCTGAAAGGTTGACAGTTCGAACTCACCCAGAGCTGTCTCAGATGATGGGCCCTGGTGATCAGTTTAAGAACCCTGTAGAGTAATTCTACTCCCCATACTTTGGGTCGCCATGAATCAGAACCCACTTGATGTTAAACAATAACCTGTGGGGCAGGTTCTCGGGGGACCAGTGTGGCCGAGTGTGTTATGTTTTGGGTTGCCAACCATAAGGTGAGCAGTTTGAACCCTGCACCTGCTCTGAGGCAGAAAGATGAAGCTGTCTGCTCTTGTGACAATTACAGCCCCCAAACCCACTGGAACAATTATTCTACTCTGTCCTGTAGGGTTGTCATTGAGTCAGTATTGGTTCTATGGCAGTGAGGTTTTGTTTTATTTTATGTGATTGAAGTTCTAGTATGGTCACTGATCCTATTTGAGGAAGCTGCTAGAACCACAGTTGGCAAGGGCCAAAAGTGGGATTTAGACTTGGGCTGGGCCAACCTTCCACCAAACAGATCTTCTCTTCCTTCTTCTTCTTCCCATAAGCCGCCTCCAGGTTCCTCTGGTGGCAGGGCCCATGTGCTTTCCTCCTCCTCCTCTGTCCTCAGAAGCCAGTGCTGTGGTCTGCGGGCAACTCCCCATTGTTCTCCGGAGGTTACGGTCTGCGATTTGGGCCCAGAAGAACCACTCGGACACTTGGAAGGGATGATGGCCCTCACACAGCTCTTTGCGTAGCCCTGAGAGAAAGGAGGCTTGCTCCAAGGCTATCCGAGGGGCGATGAATGCTGGGAGTGGATTCCACTCTGGTCAGGACCCAAGGCACCCAGCCCTCCCCAAGACACTGTGTGAGCCAGGCCGAGCCTCCACACATAGCCCCTCCTGCCCCACCCTAGGCAGGGCAGGACTTTTTCAGGAAAGACTTTAAATCTAGCTGCCAGATCCCTGGACAGGAGAAGCAGGGAGGACGGGCCACCATGCACAGCTCCCACCACCTCCTGCTGCTCCTGTGGCCGCCCCTGCTGCTGCTGGTGGCCACCTCAGACCCCACTGGTTCCCTCACCAAAAAAGAGAAAGATTTGGTGGTGGATGCTCACAACAAGTTCCGTACCCAGACCAACCCTCCAGCCGCCAACATGCTGAGGATGGTGAGTACAGCCTGCTGAGAAAGGAGGGGTGCTGGGCAGGGGTCCCCCTGTTCTCATCCACAGAGACTCATCCCTCTAGTCAGGGATCTCCAGTGTCTAGAATCTCCAGGATATCTTAGTCCATATCCTCACTTTCTGTCACCAACCTCTCTCTTTCTCCACCACATGGTCCTCTCCAACCTGCACCCTTTAGAAGTGGGATGAGAACCTGGCCAACATTGCAATGGACTACGCTAAGAAGTGCGTGTGGGCCCACAACCCTAAGCGCTGGAAGCTGGGCGAGAACCTGTTTGCTGCCCCAGGCAAGAGATTCGATGTGGAGAAGGCTGTAACTGAGTGGCAGCAGGAGCAACATTTCTACAACTTCACCGCAGGTGTCTGCAAACCTGAACAGATGTGCGACCACTACACCCAGGTGAATCGGACTGGGCAGGACCCGGACAGAGCCATGAGGGCAGGAATGGGGCTTGGGGCAGGGAGCTCAATGACAGGAATTGGTGAGGTTGCCAGGGATGGGGCTATGGCTGGATCATGGGGGCATAGGCTGGGTGGAACAACAGGGGTAATGGTAAATATAACACCCAGTGCTGTTGTAATTTTGGATTACAACTCCTTTTTGTCACTCCTATGTAATTTACAAGGAGCCCTCACAGCATAGTGGTTACATGTTGGGCTGGTAACTGAAAGGTCAGCAGTTTGAAACCACCAGGAGCTCCTCAGGAGAAAGATGAGGCTTTCTCTTCCAGTAACAGTTATAGTCTCAGAAACCCATAGGGGCAGTTCAACCCTGTCCTATAGGGTTACTGTGAGTTGCAATCCACTCGACAGTAATAAGTTACTTTTGGGGTTTGTGATTTACAGGGTAAATTCCTAACATTTAAGAGAAAGCATATAAAGATTGAGGAACTGTGTGTGTGTATCATTGTAACTAAATTGGTATTGTTCAAAGTAGGCATATAAAGGCATTAATTATAATCCAAAGGTAGCCACTAAGAAAATATTTAAAGGTATGTTTACAAAAAGAAATAAGGGATCAAAATGATATACTATAAAAATTCAACTAAATGACTTTTTAGTTAATTGAAGAGCAAAATTCAACTACATGATTTTTTTAGTTAATTGAAGAGCAAAATTCAACTAAATGATTTTTTAAGCACAGTAATAGGGAAATCAAGAAACTTAAGACATCAAGGAACAAATAGTTAAATGGCAGAAGTAAATCTCACCACTTTGTAATTCCACATAAATGGCTTTAGTTCTTTTAAGAAGCAGAAATTGACTGATTGGATTTCTTAAAAAGGAATGGTGTATGTACAAGAAACTCCCTTTAGATCAGGTATCAGGCAACAAAGAACAAAACGTCGTATCTTTGTGAATGAGGGGGAGTGTGGAGTGGAGATCCAAAGTCTATCTGTAGGCAACTGGAAATCCCCTTACAGAAAGGTCAGGGGGAGGAGAAGAGCCAGTCAGGGTGCAGTATAGTACCGATGAAACATTCCTCTACTTCTTTTGTTTTCCTCCCTCAGCCTTTCCTCTAGTTCTTTAATGCTTCCTCCCTCAACACCTGCCCACTATCATGATCCCAATTCTACTTTAAAAATCTGGCTAGACCAGAGGCTGTACATTGATACAGATAAGAACTGGAAACACAGGGAATCCAGGACAGATAAACCCCTCAGAACCAATAATGAGAGTAGTGATACCAAGAGGCTAAGGGGAAGGTAGGGTAGAAAGGGGTAACCAATCACAAGGATCTACATATAACCACCTCCCTGGGGGGCGGTCAACAGAAAAGTGGGTGAATGGAGACATTGGACAGTGTAAGACATGACAAAATAATAATAATTTATAAATTATGAAGGGTTCCTGTGGGGGTGGGGCGTGCAGAGAAAGGGGAGAAAATGAGGAGATGATACCAAGGGCTCAAGTAGAAAGAAAATGCTTCAAGTATGATGATGGCAACAAATGTACACATGTGCTTGACAATGGATGTATTTATTGATAAGAGTTGTATGAGCCCCCAATAAAATGATTTTTTTTAAAAGAAAGAAAGAAAAACTTTTTAGATACAAAGTCATAAAGATGTTGAAAGTGAAGGGATTGCAAAGGACATCCTATCAAAATAGTAGCTCAAAGAGCACTGAGGTGGTTATTTTCTCATCAGACTGAGTAAATGAGACATTACCAGAGACAAAGAAGAGCACTATGTATTAATAAAAGCTTTCATTCAGCACCCCTAACAAATAAACCAGAACTCAAACCCACTGGCATAAAGCTGATTCTTACTCATCATGACTTTACAAGACAGAACTGCTCCTTAGGGTTCCTGAGACAGCCAGTCTTCAGCCTCAGCTTTCTCCCTCGGAGTAGATGGTGGGTTTCAACTGCTGACGAAGTTCACAGTCCAATGCTTGACCCGCTGTGCCACCAGGGCTCCTTTCCCTAACAGCAGAGCCCTGAAATAGATGCATCATCAAGGAATAGACTTGAACAGCAAAATAGTTTCACAAGAATACATGGAGACTTAGCAACACCTGGCTTTTAATAATAGGACAACCAGATCAATAAGGAAATGGAAAGATTTGAATAACACTATTAGCCAATAGATTTAACAGACATAGACAAAAACACTACCCAACCCTAACAACAGAACACACATTCTTCTCAATTACACATGGAACACTCTCTCTCACTCACTCTTGCTGCCATCAAGTGGATTCTAACTCACAGCAACCCAATAGGACAGCGTAGACCTTCCCCTGTGGTTTTCCAAGGCTGTCAATCTTTATAGGAGTAGACGCCTCACTTTTTCTGCTGACATTTTCTAGGGTAGACCACATGTTAGCTCACAAAACAAGGATTTCTTTTACTCTCTTCCACTGAGTATATTCCAATTCACAGTGACCCTACAAGACAGGTGAAAACAGCACCATTGCATTTCCAAGACTGTAATTTTAAAAGACCTATTTATTGTTTTCTATGGCTGCTGCATGCTGAGCGCTCACTCTATTGATTTTGTTTTCAATGGAGGTTTACACAGTACTTTAGATTCCCATTCAATAATTTCTTTCTTTCTAAATAGAATCCTGATGCTTTTTAATTATGGGTGGTTTGATTTTTGTTTTTGTTTTGTATTAAGTCATTTTATTGGGGGCTCGTGCAACTCTTATCACAATCCATAGATACATCCATGTGTCGAGGACAGTTGTACATTTGTTGCCATCATCATTCTCAAAACATTTTCTTTCTACTTGAGCCCTTGGCATCAGCTCCTTCCTCCCCCCCCCCCACCTCCATCCCTCTCCCTCCCTCTGTCAGGAACCCTTGATAATATATAAATTATTATTTTTCCTTATTCAATAATTTCTAGAGGTTTTGTTAATTGGTGACATTAGTTACATTATTCACAGTGAGTAAACATTCTCATTATTTCTCCATTGGGTTTTCTCTTTTTGATGCCTTGCGTTTTTAAAAATAGTTTTATTGGCTTAGATATATATCACACCATTCAATCATTCTGTCATATTAAGAAGATTTGTGCAATCATCACCACAACCAATAAGGAACATATTTTCCTCATACTTACTGTTGTTAGCCCGCCATCCTTCCCTGCCACGTCCATAGGCATTTATCAATCCAGTTACTGTCTATAAATCTACAGAAAATCATACGAAACACCAACAGGAAGCAAACAAACCCAACAATACTGACTAACAATCCATAGAGAAACCTCAATTAAAAAGAAAGCAGAAAAATATTAAAAACTGAAATAGCTTTAACATGGTCAAAAGGAAATCCAATGGTAAGGTGTTATTTTAACCTAACAACATCTGCCATAACAGACTTTACAAAGCTCTCTGTCCAATAGCAAGTCTGTGCACATCCCTCAACTATGCTCTTTGTGGGCGTCGGAAACCTTGACCTTCTCCTGAGGAGCCGCTGTTGTTTTCTAACTGCTGACCTTGTGGTTAGCAGCCCAAACAAGTCTCAGTTACTTACAAATATTGAATTCATAACAAGCATTTTTTCTTATCATATGAACCCAAAGTAGAAATCAACAACAGAATAATTGATGACTCCATTTAATAAAGAAAAATGGACATGTCACAAATAGTATAAACGCATCCTTAAACAAGCAATGGGTCAAAGAATAAATCGAAAAGGAAATTCATGAGATACCTTGAGGAAAATGAAAACACAACATACCCAAATTAATGGATGCAGTGAAAGCAATTAAAACCCAACCCCTTGCCCATACAGTCTATTATAGGATGAATAGCATTTCCGCCAGGGTTTCCGAGGCTGAGAACCTTCATGGCAGCAGATTGCCCCAGCTTTCTCTCTCAGAGTAGCTGAGGGTTCCACCTGCTAAACGGCCAGTTAGTAGCTGAGCTCTTAACGGCACCACCAAGACTCCTGAGAGCAGCAGTTTGTCACAGTAAAGTCTACACCGAACAAGCTTCAGACCAAACACCTACGGTTACAACTTAAGGAACTAGAAAAAGCACAGCAAGTCAGACCCAAAGGTAACAGAAGGAAATAAAAAGGGACAGAGCGCACATAAGCAAAATAGAAACACACTGGAGACATCAACAAATGTATGCCCCATCTATTGCTCTGGGTGGTACACAGGCTCTGGTGCCTCTGCCAGCTGGGGAAGGTCTCTGCTGCTGGTTCTTCTTTCTGGAGATTCTCGTTCTGCTTCTGAGCTGGCTCACTTTTAGACCCAGCAGAATGGCAAACCTGGTCAGTCTCCAAGTGGGAGTCCTCTCCACCTTATTTGCATGCTCCACCCAGCTACAGAGACTGGATCAAAGAGCCATTCCAAACAATCTCACCTCAACACCGATGTTCTTTAAAACTTCTGTAACAGAACTAATACCAATGGGTGACTTTGATGAACAAACACTTAATTTTTCACAGTTTAGGAGGCGAGCAGGCTTACAGTGCAGTTCAGTAGCTTGCATTCAACAATTCATACACATTGGGTTTCACCACAGCCCTTGCAATCCTCACAACACTCCACCAGTTATTGCCCTTCTTGTTTCCATTTCTCTCTCTTTCCTACACTCTGACTGTGTCCTTGGGTAAATGCTGCCTTTTCTAGTCTTCAATAGTTGATTATTCTCACCTGGGGGTCGGGGGGCATTCAACTCTTGATCCGAAGGGGGACTAAAGGCCATAGTGTTGAGGGTCCCAGCAGTCTCTCTCTGGCCTTTTATAAGTTTAAGTTTGGGTCCACGTTTTCTCCCAATGTATCCGGGATTGTTTCACGTGATGCTTTCCAGAGCTGTTGATAGTCGTAGCTGAGTACCATCCAGTTCTGGTTTCAGAGTTGTGGAGACTAATGATTGCATCGTCCACTTACATATGTTTTAATTTTCCTCAAGCTTCTTTCCTCTGGACAAAAAGTGATCAATCATTACACCTTAGCTGCCTCTCTGGGGAAAACAAAGATTTTTCCCAAGTTGTCTCCCCCAAATATATGCCAAACTTAGCTGCTTGCTACACATGGTAAATGACTATGTACTTGGAGGTCAACGAAAGTAGGTAAGAGGTTATTTTCCCTAAGGATTATTAGCCATCTAGCGCAACCAGACTGTATAGTTTGTCCCACCCTAAGTAGGGCCCACTCCCTTGGGATCAGGATAGTAGTAGATTGTTTCCCTGAATGATAACCCAGGAAGTCCAAACCCACCCAAGGGTGACCAAGGTTAGGCCGCCATCATGAATCTAGAGTCCGCCCTTGTCACATGTATACCTTTAGTCCCTCCCCTTCCTATTATGTGTACTCCCCTAGCCGATCCCCTTCCTGTTATGCTTATGCCTATTGCACAACCCCTTCCTGTAACCTAGGTCTTTACCTGTAATTCGGGGGCATGCACGACCCCAAAGATATATAAGCCTTGGTTGGCAATACATCGTGCTCTTGCCCTCTGCTCGCTCCCACAATTCCCACCTTCCACATCCTCACGTGGACCACCAAGAGGGGATGAAGTGAGCATGCTACTATGAAATGTGTCCGACTTCTTTATTTTACTCTCTCTCTCCCACTTCTCTATGATTTTACTATAATCTTTATATTTCTTAACTGTACAATTGTGCTTACTGAACCCGTGATTAGGTATGGTGGGGCTGGCTAACCCATATCTGTCCATGAGCTTGTAAGACCCAAGTCGATATAGAACAGTCTTTATGCCAATTGACCTGCATGGTCCCCCACGATGGTCCTGAGGCCTCAGGACTAGCAACTCATCCCTTCAAGATGTTTGCTTATGCCTAAGAAGTTTTCAATGCTTTGTTCTCTGTATGCTCCACCACATTCATGGATATATTTCCTGAAAATATGTATATTGGCAAATATACATATGCA